GTCAGATCAGATTTTACTTACAATTTTGAAAAGCTTGAAAACATTGATGTTCTCTATTCATTACTGGATATTAATAATGAACGACTTGACAATCTAGCACAAAATACGATTTTCACAAATACTCTCAATTTTCTATTAACATCCTCAACTGATCATATTTCGTCAATTAATCTTCAAATACTTGATCGTCTTTGTAATTATATATTACCTCGAATCTATTCTAATGTAATTCTCTTAAATTCCAAACCTTTCTGAACTTTCTAGCATGTAAAATGACTTATCAGTTGCTAAATGCACTAAAGATAAAAAGAAATGAATGTTTATAAATGTGAAAGAATGATGTCGAAGAAGAAAGAGTATGTTAGACGATTCTACTTGTTCAAAAGCTTGTAGAACTTGCTTCTTCACACACTAATATTTAGAAAATTCATTTTTCCTGATTCCGACATCAGAAGTAAATCTTGTGTAAAACCATGACAAAGTATCGAAATTCCAATAAATAATACTGTTTTCGATTCAGTTTGAACGATTATCCTTACTGTTGCTATGCACATTGTAAATCAACTGAATGATAAAGACTATGTAGTCTACAACCGTAAAATTTTCTTTCTAATGTAATATTTTTATTTATTTATTTATTTAATATTCAATGAAATTAATAAATAAAAAAGATATTATAAGAAATAAATTATGAAAAGAAAATACTGATTTTAATTATTACCTTAACTAATAGAATTTAGAGATTTGTCTCGAGTATCAGATGCAGACTTCCACCGTTTCTCTCTGGTTACTATCTGATTGTACAACTCATAAAAGTTATAGCTAATAGAGACCACAGAATACAGTAACCGATAGAAATAAGATTAAACAACAGAAAAATATTGAGATATAAAAATCCCAATTTTGATTGGATTGTAACTATTTAATTCTTAGAAATAAAAATATCAATATAGAAAAATATCAAAGAAGACTATTTAAAAGAACTGTTCCGTCTAGATTGTGAAGAAATAAAGGATTTTCATAATATTTGAGGTATAGTTTTATTCATAGACAAGACGTCAGACTTAATGATGCTAGATTGTGTTTCATATTTTAATTCTGCAGGAATTGCGTCAACAGCTTTTGAACCTGAATAGTAGTTCGTCGTGCTTCATATATGTATTGTACTTTGATAAGACCATGGTATGCTTAATGTACGTATCGATCCAAGCGAATCAGACTGCAAAAACATAATGTGTATCGTATCAAGCCCATGTGGACTACCCTGAGTATGTTAATCGTTTGTTGTATTTATTCCGTGGAGACACTTTCGATCCTTTTACAAAAGTCTTTGACTAAAAAACTTAACAATATAGGATCGAGCTATTTTGCTGATTTCTTCTTACTCTAATAGACGTTAATCATTTTAATACTTTCAAAGAATAATAATTATTTATATGGATTAAACAGTTTCAAAGTTAAAAAAAGCTTTGGGCTAAATGAGTTGAGCTTTGTCATCAAACGACTTTTGATGTCATTTTGTACTAGGAGTCATATGCTTTCTGTTTTATCTTTATTCTAATGATCAGTATCATATGGCAATACAACAGCAAACATAACTAAACGCACGAGCAAGCAAAATACTATTTCGAAACAGTATAAATCATCTGTTTATATTGATATGTTTATCAAATATTAACATTATAACCATCAGCAACTCTTAAACTTGCTCAGAAACATCATATGTTTTTCATCATTATAATAGATTTTCACCACCTGCTAAAATAAAGTTAGTTTTGCAAAATAACACGTCGGCAAATTCGAGTGATACAATGTGAGTTCTGTTTAACTTTAAATTGACGTTAATCTTGTAGAAAATCTTATTCAAACGCTGTATAGGAGCATTTTTTGAAGTAAACAATCGATTGTAATTGAGGATTTTCGATGTGAAAATCTGTTTTTTTTTCCAATTTTTGCTATTTGTTTAATATTTTCTTTGTTTTGAAATAATATATTTTATTTACTCTTTTCGCTTTGTATCAATTGACCATCGAAAAATTCTTCAGTGAACAACGAAAAGCCGATTTATTCGTTTGCAATGCAGTCTGCTATCTTACTAGAGAAATGACAACTCAGTTGTCTTCTCGAACGTCAGCGGACAATATCTTGTTCGCTTTGTTAGTGGCAATAGATATGAGATATATAATTGAATAGCAAAGTTCACCTGATGAAATATTACTTGTTATTATGAACAAATTTGATTCCATGAACGTTCTTTATTCATTTTTAGGTGTTAATAGGCGACTTGATCAAATGACAAGAAATATTGACAAAATTGATGTTATGAACTTGTCATTTGTATTACCAAATGGTCAACTTGCTTTAATTGATGATGTTAAACTTAATCAATTCGTTTTTGAAATATTGTTTCAAATACATCATAAAGTTGTAACACTTCGTCTTGCATAATATACTATGGAACGTATTCTTCTTATTTGTGAATATCCTAATCTTAGTATGACCGTCTTTGTAATATCTCCACCGAACATACTTTTAGATTATTTAACAGGTAAAGAATAGTCTTTTGTTATAATCATACTATGAATATCTATTTGCTCATATTATTAGAAGGATCGCTAATGGTTCATTTGTTCCGAGAGCAGGTCAAATGCATTGCTGTTATAACCACAGATAGGATGTAGGTGTGAGTCTCCTTTGTACCTACCCCACATCAACACACGCATACCTACGCCCACACCTTTACTATGTCATGTTGAAAAAACTGCAGAAAAAAATATTTGAACGAAGTCCTAAGCTTCTGTTTCAGTTTTTTTCAGTGGTTAGTGGTTTGTTATAAAATGAACTTAGAAGTGTTCGTGCTGCTGATTCTTTTAATGAACCTGCTGATATACTAATTTGTTTTTCAGTTCCTTCATTTGTTGTAATACCATTGACGGTAATCGTATCATGATCATATTTAACTGTAAGTCTGATACTTGATTTTAATAATTAACGACACCGATAAAGTACAAAACCAATAATAATTCCTACAAACAAAATGCTAACAATAGTATCAACAATAAAATCTTCAGGATTCGACTTTCCATTTGATGGTTTATCTGTTTCATTTATAGATGTTGCTGTCGGTAATTTCGGTGTTGTTGTCGCTGTTTTTATACTCGCAAACGGTAATGCATCTGATATATCAAGTGTTAAAGTGAGTTCTTGTGTATTCATATCATATTCTAGTGCAGGTTGATCAATTTTTCCACATTGTTGTTTTTCATTTTGATAAGTATTTGAATAATGAAATGTCTCGATAAAGCCATTCTCATTTGAAGTTTGTGAATTAATACATAATTTGACTGTTGACTATTCTAATGATGATCTCATTGGTAAACATTGATAATAAAATTGTGTTGAATCAGCTTGAGAGTGTTAGTGAGATGCAAGTAATGATGATATAAATGGTATCGGATGAGTAAATGAATAAATTTGTTGATCTGGTTAACAACATATATATTGAGTAAATTCTTTTGCAATAAAATGATATGATTGTAGAAAGACTAGATCATAACCAAGTGTACAACCAAAATTAACAGTTTCACGTCGACTTGTTAATCCACAAGCAACTTAACATGTAGTATTAAATGGTAGTGTTAGAATTGTAGGTAGAAGTTTTGGACGATATTTATCATGTTGAACAAATTCTAAATAATTTTCAAACCTTTATATTTTGTTGTAGCAGTACTTATAACTAAATTATTATAGCGAATCTCAATTGAATTTGAGCATGTTTCAAGTAAATAACGTGCATGACTATTACTACATAAACGTATTACACCTGATTCTGTACTATCGATCTCAATCGATGGATCATATAAATCACATTGTGCACCTTAATCATGTAATGTAGATTGTTTAGGTAAGATTAATGTAAGAATATAAATTTTAAATGCTTTGTGAATTTGACTGCTTAATAATTGATTCACTTGAAATTGTATTTTACATTCTTTAAGTTCTGATGTATAGTTTAATGATGAGATTATGGCACCACCATCAACATTTTCAAATGAACATATATGATGTTTACATTTTGGACGTGTTGGAACACATTGATATTCAGCATATACATAATTTGATTGAGAACCATTACATGATTTCTTTGATAGTAACGGTGCAGATATATAGCAAGATGGTTTACCACCACAAGTATTACATAAGAGTTTGTGAATCTTGACTCGATAAATTGTATGAAGGAAAAATTTTATCTGTTGGTAAACACGAACTGAATAAAAGTTCTGTTGAATGTGTATTACATAAACGTCGGCTATATAAGTGATCGCTATATTGATAAGATAATGATAAATAACTATTTTAATACTCTTCTGTAGTTAACATTCTGGTAAAGTAATTTGGTTTAAAAATGACACAGCATTCTTGTTTTCCTAAACATATTGAATAAAATGCACGATGAATAACAAGTATATTATATAATGAACATTGAAAATTTGAACCTAATGAAGATGAAAAATCTAGATAACATAATGTTTTAAACATACGAGGACTTGAACCATGAAAATAAATTAATATTGAAGAATTTGTTGAACCTATTGGTGTTACTGTTGATGAATTTGATTTAGCAGTCATTAATGGAATACATATTATTTCTGATGATCTTTCTCGAAATTCGAAATAAAACTTAACATCACGTCCTTATGCATCTGATGTTTGAATTAATCGTAATGATAGAGAAGAATGACATGTAGTAAGTATAAAATTTGTATGTATTTTACCTCACATTTCCATATTATTATTATCAGCTGAAATAATTAAACGATCTTTTGTACCACTTTCTGCAAGTAAATTCGGAGTATTTCAATCCATATCAACTATATAAAGATAAATATCTTGATTTGGTTTTTTATATTTGTAAATTAAATAAAAATTATTATTACATATGTTATATGTAGTTATACCAGAAACAACATTCGGTATACATTTATAATCAATATATAAATAAGCTGATGGTCGATTTTGATGTGTTTCTAAAGTTTTAGAAAAATGATATGCTATAAATGATGGTCTACCAACACATATATTTTGAATAGTTGATGCATCATTTTGAAAACAATCATTTACATCATAAATACATGCACCTGTACCAATATTTTCATCTGATTTAGCTGCATTATCAGCTATTATTCTATCAATAATATAATTAGGTGGGCATCGAAGTGATTGTTGTTGACTACAACATATGTCATATAATGTTGAATCACTAATACTTATATCACAAAATTCCCATTGACGATCAATAACCAAATGACTTGTTAATGAACATCAAGACTTTTGAGCATCTTGGCCTGATGTTGAACCTGACGGATCGAATGTTAAACAATTTGATTGTTGATTGCCTTGATATATAAATGCAAAATTTACAATATTAACGTGTACCATTTGTTGTTGTAAAACCGTCTGGTATACATATTCAGTTAGTAGGTATATCAACAGTTTGAGCATATATTTTAAAATCACGATAATCAAGTGCTTGACAACTTAAAACAAAACAAAACTCAACTATATTTAAACAACTAATTGAAACTAATTCAGGTCGTCATAAACCACAAAGTAAATGAATTGAGTGCAATTGTATTTGTTGTTGTTGTTGATTCACATATATCAAATTGGATTTTCATTATTTGGTAAACATGTTGGTATACATTGATAATCTATATTAATATAATCAGTATCTAATAATACAAATTGAACAAGTGGTTTTGGAATGTCATATTTAGTAAAACATGATTGTATACATGTTAAACCAAGTGAAGCATCTTGATGACACTGAGTTGATGTTGGAATTTCATATTGACCTATACCTGTTGTAGCATAATTTGGTTCAATACTAGCAAGAACATGATCAGCACCACGAAGACATCATAAAGCTATTGCTACTTTAAGACAAATATCTACAAAAAGTATAGATGAAAGAAATTATTTCTATTTTATATGATCAAAAACAAATTTTAATAATAATCAGTCATGAACAAAAGTGGTTACCTTGTCATAAAGTGCTCCTATCTTTTTACCATATTGAGCTGATATTTCAAATGCATGCGTGACGCAAATAAACATTGCTCGTAAGCGTCAACTCTGCTACATCAGTTTACAAATACTAGTGTTATGGTTCACACATATTTTTTCCTTCGTGAAAAAACACGTTCTGAGATAGTGAACTCACTATTAAAAGTTTTAAATGAATTAATCAAAGTCAATCATTGAAAATATAAAAGCAACATTTACTCGTCAATAGACATTGTTGATAAGAAGAGAATTTCTCAATTATTTTAAAGTTATTGCAAACGAAATTCGTATCACCAATAGCTACGACATTGGAATTTCGAATGAGGGATATGGAAATGATATGTTCAACATATCCATGACATAATTATTATTTTTTACATGAAAACTTTTTTAGTTTGTCGGGAAATAATTGAATGTTATAAAACTATTTGAAATATTATGTCTCTTAAAGTCAATCGTGTTAATTTATCTCTTCGCATTAGACATGCGCTAAGCCCAAACGTTCGGATACGGTATTGACTGCAACCGTTTACAGTCAATTGAAAAAAGGAAGTAGAAGAAAGTTAAAAGAGAAGATTTCAGACTTGACTATGATAGATCTACACATAGTAGAATAAATGATCCACAAATTGAAGATCTACAGACACACTAAAAAGAGTCAACAATGTGCAGAAATACTCCAACCTGAAATTAACTAAACCTTACGGATTAGTTTCTGAAACCGAACGCCGAACCAGAGCTCTGGTTCGGTGCATGCCTATTTCGGATATCATCTGCATTTAGTTTATAAAATAGTTCAAAATATTAAACGTTACTATGCCATTGAACGATTGAAAACATTTCATTTCGTTCATAAATGTATATCCTATGATATGAATTATTTTGATTGGTTTTTCAAATTGAGTTTTCAGAGATTGAGATGATAAATCTAAATACACAATAGCTTTAAATCTTCGTTCCGCATAAATTTTAATTTCTTGTTTCAATTAAGATTTCATACTTGAAAATTATTTTCTTTTCTAAATTACTTATGGCATCATATGTGACTATTTCTAAGGTTGTAAATTCTGTGTCCAAATCGGTATTGATTCGCTAACACGTGCTGTTGATGATGGCAGTACACAATCACTCGATGGTACTCTCAATTGTTCTAGAATTCATTCAATGTAGAATTTAA